CTCCTTTCGGCTGATTATTTGCCCCTTTTGGGCCCTGTTTATTTCCCCCACCTTTTCCATTGTCAATCAGCAAATTTTTCATCTGATTGGAGAGATGGTTCTGTTGGCCGCCATTGTTATTAATGGAGTTCGGCTTCGGAGCTCCCCAAATCTCTGCGTATTTTCCTGATTTCGAGAGCTTCTTGATCAGAGTGGCTGCGTCTACATTTCCTGAAACTGTCACCTTCCCTAGCTCTGCATCTATTTCCGTAGTGAAAACCCCTAAAAAACAAACAAACAAACAAAAAATTGAAAGAAAAAAAAACCCCATTAAAACCAGAGAGAAGAAGAACAACAACAACTTCAGGGCCAAAAATTGAAGAGAAAATAGGAACCAACCATCAATTTTCTGCAAGATTTTCTTCACTTTCTGCTTACACCCATCACAGTGGATATTCACTTTAAGAACAAATTTCTAAACAAAACCCCACAAAAACAGAACTCAGAGAAAAAAAAAAGGAAATCCAGAAACAACAACATATCTTGCAACAAATCCAACACCAAAAAGCAAAAATTAAGACAAAGAAACGAAATGGGTGTTAGTTACCTGGATCTTTAAGAACTCTTCTTTACTCATTTCTTAGATTCAGAACAGAGGAAACAGAGGAATGGGGGTGTAGATCTGACAAAACTGTAAAGAGATTTAGAAGAAAGGGGAAACTAGAGGAGGGGTGAGTGAAGGATTCTCATATGGCTACTTCTTTCTGTGAGAATCACTGTCATCAAAATCCTGAGAAAATGAGAGAGAAAATGAAACCAGAGAGAGAAATTGCAGCACAGAGATTGTCCAAGGCCTCACTCTATCAGTCTATCTTTTGGGGCTTTTATTTAATATTTATTGCTTTTCACAACAACACATTATTTTTATTTTGAGTTTCTGCTTCTTGTTGTTTGAACCACTGTTTGGACGGAGAGAGAATTTTATAAACACGCTGAGAAAAAGGGAGACCAAAAGCGGCTCGGCTCGGCTCGGCTCGAGAAAGTTTTATAAACTCATCATGAGCCTCATAAATAGTGATGGGTGAGAATTCAGATTTTTATTTTTTTTTTACTTTTTTTTTCTTATTTGTTGGAATTTATTTATAACAGCAGCTGTAAATCAGCTTTTTGGGCGGAATTTTCTCTCCCCAAACTTGGATTTATGTTCATTAATAACCCTATTTAATGAACTTCCTTTTTCTGCCATTCTCCACTTCTCTCATTCTTTCTTTTTTTCTTTTTTCTTCACAAAATTAATTAAGCTGAGTCTTGTTTGAAAAGTGTTCAAGAGAACCGTTCTTCCCAAGTCATAAATAAAATAATAATAAATAAAAATTATTTTTGAGTTCATGGTAGAAATTCGAACAACTGATTACGTATCTCGACAAAAAAGTCGAGTTATTTGAAATATGTTCGTGTTGACATTAAAAAATTATTGTATAAAGTTTGGAATACTTCTTATGCAATTTTTGCACAAATTTTGACTGAGCTCTCTCTATGTGAGTGTTGTAAAACTAATGACTTATACTTTAATTTTAAAGAAAGTTAGTCAATCAACTCTACACCAAATTTGAAATAAACAAGTATGCCATAACTATCTATAACCCTTATAAAACTACACTCTAATACCCCAAATTCAAATCCAAGCCCAAATATGCAATAATCATGCATATGTTTTTAAATGCTAATTTATGAAAATCTAATTAATTAAGATATTGGTAATCTTTATTCTAAGTTAAAAAGTTTGAATCACCACTTTACTTGTAATGTTATATTCTAAAAGAGAATGTAGGTTTAAATACACTTTTGGTCTGCACTTTCAGCCTTAGTTAATTTTATTTCCAAATGTTCGTTTTGGTACATTTAAAAAATAACCAGGTCCCTTCATTGTCATTTTTATTTCATTCAATTTTAGCATAATATTTCACCCACTAAATTCCTTTAAATGTAGTCTTAAATCCGTATTAAATAGTTTCCATTGAGTTTAGAGTTTGTGTCAAAATTTTACTAACAGGGAGCAAAATGGTCACATTTTAAAAATAACATGGATTAAAATGAACTTTGTGAAAGTACAGAGCCTAACATAAATAAAAATTGAAAGTATAAGTACCAAAATGAACCAAAATATAAAGTACACATCTAAAAGACCAAACGACTACAATTTAGGTTTGAATAATCACCAAAATCAAGTAATCTAGAGGGGAAAAAAAGCACTAAAGATAACAATTTTTCAAAATGAATTATTGAATCCAATCAATGATGCATGAGAGAGAGAGAGAGAGAGAATAAGTTTGATAAAATCAAGTTTTCAATTTGATTCTTTTGGCTTCTCTTTTGTGATAATGAAGCTTTTGCTTTAACAACAATTAGGTGGGGGAAAGCCATCCCAAGGTAGTGCTTGAATGTAGAAGAATCACGTTCATGCAACTATTTTCCCCCCCAACACCATACTCTTCTTTCCTAAGCAAATCATTTTTGAAGGCCTCCCTTTACCATTCAATGGCGACAAAACACCTAAATAAAATGCCTTTCTTTCCTTAATTTAAGCTAAAAGACAATCTCGTTTTTAATCATCAACAGTACCCTCGTTTCAAAAACCAACTTTTCGACGAGATTTACCCAAGACCATGTCCTTTTCTCTATCCCTGCGTCCAAACAAGTCATCGATTTACCTTTCACTACCCTCCTGTCTAGTCTAGTTTTGTCTAGTCTTCGCAACTAAAAAGAGTAACCGAGCCCATAATGAAAAAGATTTACACTTGATGAACCTATAACATGATTGGGACCGGGGGCCGGGGTTTACCTTGCCCCGATTCGGAATTCAATTTAACTTGCTTTTTTGTTTGAGTAACAAAAGAAGCAAGGGCTTCTGCAACTATGCTATGGCATTTTTCCATATGTGTGGAGGTTTCCAAATGAGCACCACATGCTATTTTGAAAGAGATGGATGAGAGAAGAAAAATAATAAAAAGGGTTAAAAATATCTCTCACCTACAACAATCCAACGCAAGAATGCCCATATCACATGGTTTCTGATCTTTGATTGTGCAGCTGATAAACTTGGCACACAAGGGGTAAATAGTTAATGAAAACAACAGAAACTTTGAAATTTAGACTATAAGGGAAAAAAAATGAAAAAACCAAAAAAAACTTGATTTCTGAGTGGTCCTCATATGCAGTTCTATCCCACCTACCATGGCAGCTAATGAATTCTACATACCTATCTAAAGAATAATATCCTATGATAGATTATCAACAATTGGATGCATCTTCATGTCAATTTCTTCTTCACCTCAAACAACAATAAGACAATACATTTTGGATTACAAGTCTCTGACAGACAGGGTTTTTTTTCCCCATTTACTGGTTCTGTGCCTAAATTTTATCAAAAGGCCAAGTTGTAAGCACTCTAAATAATGCATTCAGTTCAATCATGGAGTTTGATAGATTTTCTCTCTCTTCGAAATAATTATTTTACTCTTGTTTTGTTTTGTTTATAGTTGTAATGATTAATGCTACTATACATTTGAAATCACAATTCACAGAAATTTTTGATAGACCAGAGCTTGTAAGAAAGAGGTCAAAAGTATTTATTGAGGGGCAAATAAAAAGTAAAGGAAGTAAAAAATGCTTTATGAAGTACAGGAATCCAACGTGAGAAGATATAGATAGATATTTGTAAATTCATCTGCTTACCTGTAAGTTGCCCAAAATCCACAACCATTGAACGCTCATTAGTGAATCTGTAGATTTCATACCTACACAAACTTTAGAATAAAAGGGTTATGTTTCAAACTTTCATCATTTGAATTTGAATCCTTTTCCAGGCCTTAGTGATTCATTCAAAGGATATTATCCTAAAACTTAAGAATTCATGTGAACCAATATCAATCATTTCAATGAATCATTCAAAGATGATTTGTCCTAAAAAGTTAGGAATTCAAGTGATCCAATAATAACCATTTCAATCAATCAACAAGTTCTTCATAGTGAGGTGGTTTGCAATGCCGCACGAAAAGCCGATTGCAGGCTATCAATTCAGAACTGAAATATGGCAGCATAAACTTTAACGTCCTCAGATGCTATATAAAAAAGACTGATGAACAGGGCAAAAAGGAGGTCTGAGAATAGGGAATCAAAAGCGGTAGCCTTGTCATGTTGGAGAAGATGATAATGGAGGGAGAGAGTGGGAAAGTTACAACACAATTCCAAGTGAAAACATTACTCATTAAACGAATACTTATATCAATATAAATGTCACTTTTATTGTAATAGTAAAAAAGAAAACAAAAACAAGCAGCTACACTTGTTGGATACATGCTTAATTTAGAAATGGGTTGCTCTATATTAAGAAACTAGATTCTATGTAATGGATTGTACATACAACAAAAATAACACTTTTGAAATGTTTAGGGGGAAGCCTGGCCTATTGAAGGAGGAGAATGAAGAATTTACATGTCAAGAGACTCGCTTTCATTTGAGGTCATCTTGAGGTTGAGGAGAGTCAATCTTGATTATGAGGGGCTGGTTAAGATCGACGGACGAATCGGCTACAAGGGGTAGCTGCGAGGAGAAACCCATGTAATCAGCATCTCCGCTCTCAGCCAAAGCTTTTTCCAAAGCAGCCTTTGCAACTCTGGTAACGCAGTATGCCAGAACCACTGCATGCAAATCAATGTCAGAAAAGGCTTCCTACCTTCCCTCTTTTTTTTAATTTAATTCAGTCAAGTTCAATGTTGACAGTTAACTATAAATTAAAACGGAAGCATCCAATGTTATTTTAATTATTTTAATCGACCACGACCTTACTTAAACCCATGTAACCAGGATCTATTCTATAGGTAGGATCTATTCTATAGGTTGTACAACTCTGTCCTTGAGTTCTAAAAATTATTTTAATAGACCACCCGTTGTTCCAATATCACATTACGATGACAAATATGCTCAAAGATTTTTCCTTTTAAGTAGAGCAGATGCAGCATACAAGAAACATATCCTTTTTGATAAGACAAAAAGGACCTTTTTTTTTGTCTCACTCGTTCCTTATTTTACTACTGCCCACCTTTTATCTTCTTAAAATGTGCCTAGCAAGAATAAAACAAGAAAATAAAACATTAAAACCCAAAATGAGGATATAAGTTTCTGCAAATGATATTAACTTACCAGATACAACAAGACCCAATATTATCAATGCCTGCATCCACAATGAAGGATAGAGTGTGCATCAGACAAGATAGAAAAAACGGTATATATATTGGGGAAGCTCTTCAAAACCCAAGATCTTATGTAATAAAAATTGGTACTTCTACAACATATTTTTGAGAAATAAATATTCATAGCTAATGAGATTAGGGTTACTTTTGGGCTGTCTATGAAACATACCATCAAGATCTTTTTTACTCAAAAGCCATAAAAGAGTTTTGTTACCTTCCCTTCCCCAATGTAGAAGATAAAGAGCACTTACACAACGGGTCTTCGAAAATTCTCCCCAACCATGTGTAACGTCAGAAAGATCTTTGAGTGTGGTTCCAACATATACTAATGCAAAAGTGATGGGCTGCAACAGAGAGGGTGAAATATCAAAATATGTAATTAAAATTAGTACCTAAAGTTGATATATTTTGACATTTCAAAAAAATCGTGATTCCTAAATTATATTATGGATGTGCTGGATCAAGCCCACATGCAGAAGGAAATAAATAAAAGGAAGAATTGCTAATTTGTAAAATTTCCATCTTTCATCTGGATGAAGAACAATGTACACCAAAATATCATTCGACAAGAACTACACATCAATAACAAATATGATAGGCCACTCAATACTACATGCTCATTCAAGAATGGTAAAAATAGGAATACATATGGATATTGGGTGATAAGAGGATCTATAAGGACCAATAGGCCATGTGATGTTACATTAGGGAATGGAAATACCATTAAGTTATAATTAGGAGAGCGTATTTATACCAAAATGGTGGCCAATGTGAGGTGAGCTAGATTAGGCTAGGAGAGAGATAGTCCCCTCTAAAGGCCATCAGAGTCCTACTTGGCACCTTTCCATTTTTCTTCCTAACTGACTTCCTCTTTAGCTTCTAAAACAATCTCCAGAATCCTATCTTAATATTTCCCTTCATAATCAATGAAGTTATCATCATGAATGAACAAGAGTTGAAAAGACTGAAAACAACAATATCCATGGATTTAACTGATCATTACTTAATAATCAATGAAGTGTCACCATTCACAAAATAAAAATGCCTATCCATGCATGCACTACAAATTGGCAGAAAAATAAAATTTTGACAGACAAATTAAATAACCTTTCCATTAAGACATGAATATACAAATGGAACAGAAGTCAACAATGGTATGTACTTGTACACGGGATGAAACACTCCTACCAATATAAAAATTACGCCAAAAACATGATCTGAAATATATAATGCCAGTATAGATGTGATAAACAGATAATTATAACTTGCAGAGTCCTGAACAAGAACACGAGAAAGAAGGTACCATCATGCCCAACCATGAAGCCAACATGTATTCCCCTAATGAAACAGGAGTCACCGACAATAGGTAATTCAACATGTTAAATGGAAGTAAAGGTACAAGCCGGAGCAGCAAAACTATCTGCAAAAGTGAAAATTTTGGGTCACTGACAGGATGTGTATCCTATTCGCCGCTGTTTCCAAGTGAGATATATATATATATATATATATATATATATATATATATATATGCAAACAGATATCATGCTCAATCGTTTCAAATACAGATACCAGAGAAGCCAAGCTAATTAAAGTAGATCAAAAGCCATATCAATCAGCTTTCTTCATAGGTACTAAGATGCAAATTAACTTTTCTGCCAAGCACCAAGCAAATGGTTTAAATAGCCAAATATTCTTAGATCAATTTCCATTCATTGGCAAAGGCCATGCTGCCTACCCACAATTTACTGGAATCATATAATTCGGTTTAGCAAAATAAATGCACAGGAACGCAAAATCATCCATCACCTCTGGCGTTGTATTTCAAAATTTAATCTATGGTAACTCATACTTTGTATCATGCAATGTACGGGGAGAAACATTTTTTCATAGGTACATCAAACTGGTGGGGAAGAGGGGAAAAACTACCAGTCGTTTCATCCAGGAAATGTTTACAACTAATAGCAGGCAATTTTAGTACAAAACAAAGAAGTATAACAATAAACAAAAATTGGTACCTAAAAAACAGCCAATTTTCTTCATTCACGTTAAACTAAAAAACAAATGAACTGAAATCCACAAATACGAGGTGTTATTTTTAATAATAATTTAAACAGAAGAAACAAGAAACTCTAAGGATTGAATAAAAGGTATGGGAAGAATATGAATTGGCACTGGCAATGAAATGCTTCCTCCATATGCTAATGCAAATACTGGTAAACAAACACATAAGTGTAAACAAAGTAGACAAACCTTAAATCCAGACCGATTAATAGCAATTGCAACTGAATGAAACTGTGGATAGTCTTTCAGCTTGGAAACAACAAATGACTTCCCAATCTGTAAGGAATGCCAGAGAAAGGATGATCCAACTAGCAATCATACATATTTGATCTAATAATGTCAATTACAAAATACAAACGAATAACAAACTTGCCCGATAATAATTCTGTATTCATATACTAAAATTAACAGACAATTAAAAATTACAGACAGCCATAAGAGTTCAAAAAGTACCGTTCGTCCAAGAAGGAATGCAGCCCCAGCTCCAACAGTTGCACCAATAGAATCAGCAATGAAGCCCACAGGTAACCCAAACAAATAACCACCACCAAGCTGAAAGACAGACAATGCATACCATCTAAGGTCCTATAAGTAAGTTCATCCAAAGCATTCTTCCCCAACACATTTTATTTATTTTCCAGGCACGAGAAGGATTAATGGATGCTTACAGTAAGTATCGAGGCAGGAACCGCCAACACTGTCAAAGGAATGTAGGCAACAGACCTGACAATACAACCGCAACAGCAATAGTAAGAGGAAGGGAAGCAACGGTACAGATACATAATTCAAAACACAAAATTGAAAGGTTCTACGATAGACTAGCAACAGCGACTTACAGCACAAGTGGACCCCAAGCGCCAAGATCTTGATCAACCCATAGTAAAAAGTCCTTCAGAATCTGCAAAGGAGTTAATTTCCAAATATGTGATCGATACAAATTGTACAACATTACATATCAGAAAATGAGCGATTCATCATAAATCTTTCAGCCTCGAAAGCAAACTAATAGACTTCAAGTACATAGTTCATCATTTGAATGAACTAAAACACCCCGTAAATTGAAAAACCCACATGTAAATCAATAAATTCCATCTAAAGGAAAATAAAATGAATTTAAAAAAATACTTCCAGAGAATTACTAATTTGATCAGATAGTTCAGAGACACCAAATTGTTAACTCAAACAAAATTCATTAGCAAATTATAAAGATGGAAATGCCGTATCAAAGAACTCCTACAATCAAGGCAAACTCGCAAGAATCAAGAATGCCAAGAAAGGGGAACACAATCCAGAATTCCATACCTTATCGATGGGGAGGGTGAAACAAGCAGTTACTATAGCAGCAAGAAGTAGGAGTAGAAAGGTAATCTTGAGGGCGGAGCGCCAGGTGAAAGCCATGAAAATCCTGCGACGCCAAGGCCTGCACTCCTCCTCCTCGTCGTTGTGATCAGAAATGGAATGCTTCAACGACAAGCGAGCCCGCAATCCCCCAAGGTTTGCCAGATTTTTTGGCTAGGTTTTTGCCACTAAATAATAGCGAGAAACTGCTCGAATCTCAATCTCAATCTCAAAACCTTCAGCCCATCAATGGCAAATACACCAACAATAAACAAACCCCGCAATTCACCGCCTACTCTCTCTGTAAGTTCCTCTGTAAGGGAATCACAACGAAGATTACAGCTCGAGCTCCAACTTTGATCTCCAGTTTTGGCGTGAAATTTGGGAGCCTAATGTTCTTTTTTTGCTCCTCTCAATTGGATCCATATTTTTCTTGGGCTCTGCTTTCTGGGCCCATTTCAATAAGATAAGTCTCTCGGCCCACTATTTTGTTAGGCTCGGCCCAGTAAACTCTGTTTCTTACTTCTCCAACCAAAACAGTATATATATACACACATTCATCTTTTATTTCTCATGTGTATCTTTGAAGAGCGTTTTGTACTTTTCGACATCTTTGTAGTTTGTAGAACGGCTTGTACTTTTTCTGCATGATCGTAGAGCGCCTTGTACTTATCGACCTCTTCTTTATACTTGATTACTTCTTCTTTCACTTGATTATTCTTAAGTTGCAGGTAAGACTGCTCAAATTTTTCGTAGATACATAATTTAAGACGAACTTGTATATAATATGTCCAAATAGATAAATTATCTTGAACCATGTTTAAGTATTTAGATATCTAATAGAAAAAAAAATAGTTTAATATTTTTGGACCAAAAAAACTCAAATTTATTGATATGAGATTAATTTAAGTATTTAAATTAGAGTTATGATTATGATTTAGCAATTTATTTAAATAAATATGAAATCAAGGTCGCATAATTTGTATCTAATTTTCCTACCCATTACAACATTTTAACACAAATACTCATTGGTAAGATTCATGTCCTTTTTTTTTTTTTGCGGTAAAAAAAAGGATTCATGATTTTTTTAATTGAAACAATATTTTAACACCTTCTAAAAATAAAAATAAAAATAAAGCAATATTTTAACACAAATAAAATTGGTAAATTATATATTTCTTTTCCTTGAAAATGTGATTTTTATTACTTTTAACACAATTAGTTAAAAGATCAATTTCCGACCAAAAGGTCATGAATTCGAATTCTTGCCTTCACATAATTTTGTATTCTAAAAAATAATAATAATCCTAATATTTTAATCTAAATTTTATTGAAGTTCACCACATAGTTCTGTCCCTATAATAAAAAGAAACATAGAAACTAAAGGATTAAAAAACAAAACAAAAACAAAAAAAAATATTACGAGGCCGAGAGTTTTCCTGAGCATTCGATTCCCAAATCCACTAACCTTGCTTTTATGGTTGTGGCCTCGTACAATAAATATACATAAATACAATATATAGAAGTGGGGTAAATTAAATAACTCTATAATTTTTTTCATATTATTTATTCATCACATACATTTCATTTAAATGTATATTTGTTGTAAAATTTTTCCACGATTTCATTTAAATTAATTAGATAAAATGATAAAACACCTTTGAAATCAATCTGCATCTTATAATATTTTGACGAGAAAATAAAGAAATGGCCATATGCTTATTCTAATCTTATTGGAGGTAAATACTAAAGTGGTCGATGCGATTCGTTCAAAAGAAAAATGGTCGAAATATAATAATTTTGAAAATTAAAGTTAAAGAAAATATGTATGATATTGGACCGACCCAATGAAAAGTTTAGAACAAATCTCTTGCTTTAACAAGAAAAATACTAATAAGCTTAGGTTAGATAAAATAAAAATATTATTCCCACTGTCTAGGAAGGATATATACTTAATCTAATTATTAAATTAATGATCTTCAATTTATTTATTTTTTTCCTCCATTTACTTAATCTATTTTTGCCCCCTTTTTTTTTGTTTCTTTTGTAGTAAAATTGTTTTCTTTTTAGTGAAAAGGGAGACTAGAAAAAAAATTCCTTAGTATACCAACCTCTTTTTTAATCTCGATTATATTTTGTTGGGGTGATAACTCATTTTTATTTTTGTATTTATTACACGACTTATATTTATGACTATTGAAATTCAACATTATCGGCATACGTAAACTAATCAAGACATTGGCAAAATTATTTAAAATCCATAGGATTTTGAAGATACATCTTATAGTTTATGACTATTGAAATTCATTCAACTAGTCAAGACATTGATAGACTTCTTTAAAATTCATCGTATTGTAAGATATTAGTAATCTCTCATAAAGGTTAGAGGATTAAATTGAGACTCTCTTAGTCATTTTTTTTATACCACAATTTTATATGTAGATCGAATTATCTACCTTAAAAATGATATTAAGATGTCTTATCTACTTGAGTTATGTTCGAATATGGAAGACTCTTCTTATACGTAAAATTTAATAAATAAATAAATAAAAAGAATCAAAATGTCTCAAAATAAAACTTTAGGATATGAATGATAGAATATTGCAAATGATTAATATTTGCAGTGGAAGCCCTAAAGTAAAGTAATTCAAATGATTAAATAATAATAGTCAAATTAATAATATTAAGAGATTCAAAGGATTGAACAATAAAACAGCCTTAATCACAAAGCACAAGCATGCAAATTGGGGCAAAATGCCAATAAGAAACTTTACGTGGAGAGTGGGAGCACTAAGGAAATAAATAATGATGATAATAATAATAATCAAATAGTTTTTTAAAATACATTAAGAAAAATTATGTAATAATTATGATGATGAATAATGATATATATATTTTTTAAAATTAAAAGTTTTATGTTTTGAATGGAGTAATAATTTAATTAGTTAAAGATGAATTATAAAGAAAGTTGCATAAGTAATGATGAGTTTTGGGTATGATTGGCATATGATTTAAGCGTGCAGAATATTTATAGTGTCGATGCGAAAATCCTCCAAACAACGAGACGATGAAATTGATATAACTTCTAAATCTATTGAATGTGACTTTCCATTTAAAAAATCATAATTACTTTTGGTGGATGTGAAAGTCATGTTATACACGCTCCATCTCTCATGCACGCTTCTTTTTTTATTATTATTTTTTAAATGAGTAGTCTTTTTGTAGGTTTTTTTTTAATTTGAAAACAAATCTTATAGGTATAAGGAAAAAATTAAAAATAAATTATATGTTGATCTTATAAAGTAACCCTTGTTAATTAAAAATGGTCTTTATTATATATATCATATATATATATATGTATGTCACTAGAAAGTAGAAGTGATAATTGGTTTAATTTATATTTATTTATATATATGCACAAAAGTATTTGATCGGACCATTTTAATCCTATTTTTTTAAACATAAAAATAGGATTTGAAATCGGTGTAAACTTTAAAATCATGTGTACATACAACCGAATTCATTTGAAATCCGTCGAAATTTGGGATACCAAACATAACATTGGTACCTAAATTTCAACGAGCTTTATAACAAATACGTTCTTAAAAGTAATCTTCATCGTAAAACTATTTACCTACTTACTTTTTTATTACACGCTTTATTGTCGTAGAATATATCATTAACCGAATTAAAATTCTTCTTTAGACTTTCTTCCTGAACCACATTAACTCTCTGTTTGGCATCAAGAAAGTTCAAGAAATGATTTTTAAATTTCGTGATTAGAAATTCTAGAAATAATTTGGAAGGATAATGATTTGAAATGAATTAAATTAAATTTCTTTGTTCGTATATTCGCTGGAATGGAAAAATGAAAAGTTTGCTGATTTTGGCTTTAATCTAAAGTCTGTGAAATTCTGCAAAATTTAACCATTTTGATCCCGAAATTTCTTTACATAAAAGCAGGATTATCCTCATTCAAAATCATGAGGTACCAAACAACAAAATTCATTTGAAATCCATCGTAATTTTAAAATCAAACGGAGCATAAAAGTTCCAACTGAGTTTTGTTCGGTCGATAAAGTTCAGAAGATAGTTATCTAATTTAGTGCAGCATATATACAGTATATATGCCTCACTTCAAAAGTAGTCGGCAGAAAAAAGATGGACAAATTTGTATAAAAAAAACCTTAAACATTATTTTTTTTTAAAGAAAAAAGGAAAAAAAAAAGTAGAAAGGCAAATCCATGATTGAGCTATATTGCAATTTGGTGTGTATGGTTGTATTTGTATTTGGCCAACAAAAGAACATGAACAACGAAGGCCACAAATTATAAATTATACTTTATTTGAAGCCTAATTGGAGGTACGATTTTGAAAAATAGTAATTAATGGAGCAACAACTTCTTCTTCAATTTTTTTGTTGGGTGGAGTGGAGGAATTCTTATTTTCAAACTTTGCATTACATCAACTTAATTACAACCTATTTTTCAATTTTTTTCCTTTTTTATTTTTGTTACTTCCCATTGTAATCATGTTAGTTGAGATGATATCGATCACCGTCATTTCAATTTTCATTTTGAGATGTATCGAGATGAATAATACTTTTCAATCGAATAATAAGACTTTACGGAACGGTTGAAATCAATTATTAGGATATATGTTGATGCAAGATTCTTAATGACGTGACAGGTCGGGTTTGGATTTGAAGTGGACATCTAGTCAACCGAGGTAATGGCCTACAAATAGAACCTTTCACCAATATCCATATCTTCATGTCGGGTTACAAGCTGAACTTCTCAACTTGCACTAAGTCATTTTGTTGGTTCCTTTTCACCTCGAACACGGGAACCCTTCTTTTTGCCCTTTCTTGGTGCCATTGAACCTCTTGCTCGTGAGAAATATCCCATGCGATAAGGTGTTAGGACCCCTGTCTCATTGCACTAAGTGTAGTTTTTTGGAATTCGTAATTGCATTTTCGAAAATATTTTTACAACAAAGTTTTCTTTATGTTGTTTTTTAATTTTTATTAGATACTTCATGTTTGAACTTTATTATTATTTTTTTCCCGAAGGGATATGAATTATCAAAATGAATTAAAAGAAGTAAGTGGCTTTGATATGCACGAGACCCACAGATTTAAAGTCTCCTTCTCTTTCAGTTGCCATATCTTCTAACGTGTTGAATCGTGGACATTCCAACTTCACGTGCAAGGCACTTGACTTCCTCGATATCCCAACAGACTTCATGAAATCTTCGTCGTCTTCTCCATAATTCTATCATTTCTCATAGGACCAACTTGCTTCCTCTTCTTCTTCATTCTTTTTTTTTTCTTCTTTTTCTAAGAAGAAGAAAAGGAAAAACTTCAAAATGCTAGTGGC